TGAGCACTTTACATGCATTGTCTCATTTGCTTGATTGTGACTATCAGATTGGATCTCTGTTTCACAGATGAAGAGATTGAGACTTCTGATAAGTTAAGAGTTTCGGGTAGTGTCACCCAGCTAAGTCAGGTGGACCGCTGGGATCCAAATCCAAAGTTTGTGCTTTCAGCCTCCTTCCCATCCCTCCTGGAGCCCCTGGATTCCATCCTCCTGTTCTTCTGCTCTGGGATCCTGGACAGACCCTTGATCATGTCTCGGCTGATGAAAGGGAGTGTGGCTAGGTTTTGGAAGAGCCACACATACTCCACACATGTTAACACGCCCCCGCCCCCCCATACTTCCTTTCCTTGCTTCTTAGCAACTGACTCAGAGCGGATGGAGGGGAAAGAAGTGAGGTCACATTTAAATTGGTCAATTTGAGCAGCTCACCGCAAAGGCTGGTGTGGGAGAGAGATGCAATTAATCTGAAAAACACAGTGGTTTTTATTTTTAAAAATATGATCCGTGGCCTTCAAACCTCTGTGCGGCTGTGCCAGGCATCCATTTCCACGCGTCAGCAGCAGCCTGGCATTTCATAAAGTCCCTGTGAATTTTTTAAAAAATGAATGGCATTTGTCTTCTTTTTTCGAAAGTAAAATAAATCAATACATGTTCATTGTAGAAAATTTGGGCTTGGGGGGTGGGAAGAGAGTAGAAAGAGGACAACAGTATTTACCCGTAAGTGTTGCAGCCGTGTAATGGATAGATTAGTCAGCCACGAAAGGAACAGACCACAATACACGCACCAACATGGATGGATCGCCAAAAGTGTTACGCTGCGTCAGAGGTCAGACCCAAAGGAGGACGTATCTTCTGACTCTATTTATACGAAGTTCAAGAAGGGGTGAAACTATCTATAGTGACAGAAGGCAGATGGGGGGATGTCTAGGCCAGCAAGTGGGTGGCTGGGATCAACAGCAGAGGAGCAGAAGAAGCTTTGTTTGGGTTGTGAGAATGTTCTATATTGGTGTCTTGATTCGGGTGGTGGTTACCTGGTTGTAGACCTTCATCAACACTTATCAACCTGTTCTTTTAAAACTGGTGACTTTTATTTCATGTAAATTGTATTCTGATAATGTTGATTTCAAAAGACAAAAGAATGACTTATAATCCCACCCACTACAGAGATAACTGCTATTAAGTGTGTATATGTAAATCAATTGACTGATTGTGTGTAACAAAGATTAGTTTTAGATAAATGTTCAATCCTCTGTAATACATTTTTTTTTTCAATTAACCTCAGGGACTTCCCTAGCAGTCCAGTGGTTAAGACTTCACCTTCCAGTGAATCTGGTACAGGTTTGATTCCTGGTTGGGGAGCTGGGATCTCATATACCTTGGGGCCCAAAACACCAAAACATTAAAAAAAGAAGCAATATTGCACCTCCAAATCCCCCAAACTAGAGGAGTAGGGGGTGTGGCAGGTCATCACTCAGCTACCCAGTATCACAGGCTGCTAAGTAGGAAACGGGGCTCCCATGCCCCCTCCCTCTATCCCCACCCATGAGCCTAGAAAATGGGCTGACTTCACATCAGCTCAGAAGCGGAGGGGGATGTTCCCTGACTTCAGGTTGGAAACATGACTCCTCTCCTTATACCCAGAGAATAAGCACATTATTTGATCAGTACATTAAATGCCATCAGTACAGAGTGTGTGTTCTGTTATGCTGGTGTCTCATGCCTGTTAAAAATGAGGCTCAGGAATACTCTCCTGGATGATGTAATTCTGAGACAGAGTTTTCAATCGGAGCTTTGGGAGTGTTCCCCCAAAGCAGCAGTTCCATGGGGCAGCTATGAAATTAAGAACAAACAATTCTGCTTCTGGCACCGGGCGTATGATTACAGGCATAGCCTCATGCCATCAAGGGGCTCCAGAAACATGGCTCCAAACAGGCTGCATCTCATTTCATCCCGTGGGTTCCTGTGTTCCTTGACAGCCTGAAAAAGCTGGCTGTGAGTTTCCTCCGGCCCCTGGGAAGTGGCATCTGAGGAGGGACGTGCCGTTGCATGAGTGTGGACAATATAATCTCCCCCAGACCGTGAACCACAGGATGCCTGGGGAGCAGCCTGTACCGGCTGAGAAGGTGGGAAAAACATTTTCCTTCAAACCAGGTGTTCTCAATCAGGGCTGATTCTGCCTTCCCGGTGACATGCAGTAACGTCTCAAGACATTCTGTTTGTCACAAATTGTGTGGTCTTGCCATCTATGGGTTAGGGCTAAGCATGCTGCTTAACACCCTGCAGTGCCCGGGGCAGCTGTATGCTGCCGGAAACGATCCAGCCCTTAAATGTTCATAGCAGCCATAGGTGACAACCCTGCAAAGACGCTGTATTGAGTGTCTGTGCTCCAGTTGTTGGGCAGCATGATCTTGAGGAAGGCTGTAATCAGGGCCTTGGAAACATGGGTTCAAAAATGGCAGTGGCAACATGAAAATACAATGCTTATTCTATGTGCTCACCCAGTGCTGGGCTGTGAGCTCATTTAATTCCTATGACTCTGGGAAAAGGTGCTGTTATAATCCCATTTTACAGTAAATCAACCAAAGATACACACATCTGGTAATGGAAGGGCGAGGAGTTTGTTTTCTTCTTGGCACACTTTTTTGAGGGGGCGAAGGGGGAGGAGGGGTGTCTGATTCCCCTCACTCAACTATGAGCCCTGCGAGGGCAGCATCTTGTGTAATCTGGACCTACAGTCCCCAGCAAAGTCCTTGGCCCTCAGTAGGTGCTGACAGGGGTTTAATGGAGTTGAATGAAGGCAGGCAGGAAGCAGGGCAGTGTTATCTAGTGGTTAGAATGTTGGCATTGCAGTTTGATTTCCAACCATTCAACAGATAACCGTCGTGCAGCTTCTATAGTCCAGAACAAGAAGGGACCTGTTGGAGCTGACCTATGCTTGCCCATGAGAGCTGTTTTCCAGGAATTTTGCAAGCTGGTTGTCAGAGCCATTAAACAGGATGGAATTAATATCAACTTACATTTAAATAAATTATATCTTTAAAAAGGTAATAAAACTCATCAGTTCAGTCCAGTTCAGTTGCTGTCATGTCTGACTCTTTGTGACTCCATGAACCGCAGCATACCAGGCCTCCCTGTCCATCACCAACTCCCCACTTCCTAATTATTTTACTAGCATTTCTGTTCTGAAGGTTATTTATGCCTATTTCAGGGGTCGCCAAACTTCTTCTGTAAAAGGGCCAGATAGAAATATCTTAGGCTTTGCGAGCCCTGAGCTGAGACCCCTCCGCCCCCGTTTCGTGTCCCCCGGAATGTTGTATCTGTAGGGTGGAAACACTCTGCAATGGGGTACATCTCTACCCAACTCTCCACGTTCAGCAAGGCCTGCTGATAACCTGAAGATGGCCGTGGTGGGGATATTTCCACTAGGGAGACTGTCGAATGCTGTAAATCAGCACTCCGCCCCCCCCACCCCCACAAGCTGATGCTTGAACATTCAGCGGCACACCGCTGGACACAGTGATGGGCAGAACTGGAACAGATCCTGCCCTCTTGGAGGACACAGTGTATTGGGTTTGTGAAGCATTTCGTGGAGAGGGGAGGAGGGAACTGGGCAAAGGACCTATGGGCGTGCGGTAGGCAGAAGCAGATGCCTAGGTGGCCCTCTCCCAGGCTAGTCATCAACTCTCGTGCTCTCCTCCCCACCGGGGACTTTGCCACTTCCTCACGTCCCTTTGTGGGCTGCCAGGGCAGCAGGTCTGTCTTTCCCCTCTGAGTTGGCTCCAGGGGGTGACCTGAGGGACCTCAGGGTTGAGCTGCGAGCTGATTCCTGCCCGCTCACTACATGCCCCCAGCATCTAGCAAGGAGTAGCATCTTCACCAACATGGCCCCGAGTGAACCCGTGGTATGGTGTCGATCCAAGTGGAAGAGGAACTTGTAGTGAGCCGGTGAGAGCAGAATGTTGCTCTTTGGGACAGGCTCAAACGAGGAGGGGCTGCCAGCAAAGATCGGAGAGCATGGAAGCTTTGTCTGGTGATCTTTGTGAGTCAACCGGCCTGTGAGCCCTAGGAGAGTAATGGGGTCATGACCTTGCCTGTCATTCCTACTGCTCCATGACCCTTTCAGGTTTGATGCCAGGAGGGTGACCTCTAAGGGACTTGCGCTACTGCTGGCAGAATCTGGACTCCTGTGACACCGAGGATGACCTGGGTACCTGAGGCACTGGTGGAAACTCAGTGGGCTTGTGTCTCCTACAGAGGTTGGGGGGCTGCAGGGAGGGGGCTTCTGATGGAATCTGACAGCTGGACTTACTCATTTTTAGGTCAAGAACCCAGGCCATTGGGAGGTGAGGGACTCTGTGTATCACTGAGTATAAGCCAACCCATCTCCTCGCAGCCTCGCTCACTGACCTCGGTCTATGGCCTAAGCAACAGGGCACAGGTGAGTTTGACCACAGGTCACTGTGTATTTGCTTGCAAGCACGAGGGCTACTGTTGACCATGAACTCCTGCTTTCAGTTTCCAGGGAACTTCTTAGAGTATCTTGTAGGCTCCATGTCACTGTCAAACCCAAACCAAGAAATATTATTGAAAGATATATTGATCAAATTCAACACTTTTCTTCCTGAGCCTCAGAAAACATTACAAAAGGGGTGGGAAAAACATGGTCAAACAGAATTTTGGGTCAAAATCTTGGCTAAGATCCTCATGTTTGTCTAAACCTCAACTTCCTCATCCTTAAGATGGGGATGGTAATTTCTGTCTTCTGGGTTGGTTGAGAGGAAGAAAAGAGAACAAATATATAACACCTCCAGCATAGTACCTGGCACTTTATCATGCTGTTTCTATTCAATGTTTACAGATCAAGCACCATATCAAGCAGTGCTGAGGAGGTCTGGATGAAATCTTAAACTGCATCCTGGTAAATCTCATTCTGCTGAAGTTCTGCCCCCTGAACGGGGAGAGGAGGGTCCACAGATGTCTGCCATTGAGCCTCCCCACTCATGATTTCCTGTTGCACCCCATCACCTCCATCCTGGGTACCTTCGGCAGCCTCTCCACTGGCCTCCCTGCCTCCAGGCTGCTGCTTTGCAAACCTTGCCCATGTCGTGCTGTGTGTGGCCAGTGGCCTGGATGAAGGTGACATCTACAAGTCACTCCCCTGGATGGCCCGTGTGGTGGCGTCCCACTGCTCTCAGGGGAGAGTCTGGTCCCCGGGCCTGCACTTCAGGGCACTGCTTGCTCTACCCCTGCTCACCTCTAGGGCCTTTGCCCTGCACCCCCCGGGCTCTCTGTATGCAGTGGCAAAACGCCTGCCATTTCCTGCACGGGCTGAGGGTCTTCCCTGCTTCCAGGAGCAGCTTTCCCTGATTCCTAATGACCACCTGGAGTCAGGACATGTCCACAGTGCCACAGCACATACCCGCAAACCTCTCCCCACCACCCCCCATTCCTGTAGTGCCATGAGCAGTATGGTCATTGTCTTTACATGGCCTTAGAGGCTGAGCTTCGCACCTGGGCCAGGTCCTGATGATCCACATGAGGCTGGCAGCCTCTCTGTATCCTTACCTGCAGGAGGGGATGGTGATGGGTCAACCCTGTGTCATAGTGTTGCTGTGAGAAAGAAAAGCTGTGTGCGTGCTTAGGACACTGGGAATTATTCCTGCAATTGGCAAATAGCAGCTCAATAAAGGTCTGAACAACAGATTTAACCCCCTTAAATGGGCTTCCCAGGTGGTAAAGAACCCACCTGCCAATGCAGGAGATGTAAGAGACGTGGGTTCGATTCCTGGGTCGGGAAGATTTCCTGGAGGAGGGCATGGTAACCCACTCCAGTATTCTCGCCTGGAGAATCCCAGGGACAGAGAGGAGCTTGGCAGGCTACAGCCCAGGGGGTCGCAAAGAGTCAGACAGGACTGAAGCCACTGAGCACACACAAACCCTCTTAAAGCTATGGCCTGGGGCTGTGTCATCAGTTAGGGGCTCCAGCTTGACTCCTTGTTTGATGGTTTTCTTAAGGCTGCTGAAGTTCAGAACCTGAAGAAGAGAATTTGCCAGCAGGTTGTAGGGAGTCAGTGAATTCCCCATTTCCCCACCTCATTTGCCTCCCCAGGGCTCACGAGAGAACAGCTCTGTGCATCTATCTCCTGGGCAGCCTGCAGCTGTCTTCTCTGCGGAGGGACACACATCCGGCCCTGACTTCCACCCGGGTCCCAGCCCTGGCCAGGCTTGGGTGAGAGTCTTTTGGGGAGCCCTAATCTTGTGTGTTCTGGAGTGCAGGGGAGGGGAAAATCCCCACTGAAGGGCTGCTGTGGACAGACTTTGGCATTTATGATGCAATTAAACACATGCTGACACTCCTGTGTTGTCCACTTACAGAGGCACCTTCACTAAACAAAAAGGCACAAATTGGGGGTTTTAATGCTATTGACTGTAGAAGTGTGTGGATGTGAGGAACCCAACCCCAGAGCTGAGCACTGGCTACCTCTCCTGATGCCACAAAGGGACCGTTTCTTGTTGCACAGCTGGAGTGCCCCTGTGACATGGCAGTTCCTTCCCCGAGGGTGCATCCAATATGGTTCTCTCACAGCCCTGCAGGGCCTGGGGATGCAGAGAGAAATGACCCGGACTGAAGGGGAGGCGAAAAGAGGTCAGGGCCTCTGGGGTGCAGGCAGAGGGGGCACCCATAACGCTGGAGAGGGATTCTGTGTCTAGGTTCCTATTAGGAACTGATCAGACTCCAGGAGAAGGAAAGCAAGGGGGGATGGTGGCCGGGGAGCCTGTCCCCTCCCCGGAGAAGCTTGAGGACCCCAAGGGCAGACAGACATCTGTAAATGACCAGGAGCCCCGTGGAGTCCGATTGGTTGAGCCAGGGCTTGTGTGGCTCATTATTCGGAGACTTGACGGGACATTTGCAATTCGAGGGAGTATCTGTGTCCCTTGGCCATCATCCAGGTGGGTGGCCAGAGCTGAGCGGGGGTGGAGGGTCACCTGGCCATCCAGGTGGGTGGTCAGAGCTGGGTGAGGGTGGAAGGTCAGCTGGCCATCCAGGTGGGCGGCCAGAGCTGGGCGGGGGTGGGGGGGTGAGCTGGCCATCCAGGTGGGCGGCCAGAGCTGAGCGGGGGGTGGAGGGTCACCTGGCCATCCAGGTGGGCGGCCAGAGCTGGGTGGGGGTCCCAGGTCGGTGCGGCCCTCCCCCAGCATCTCCGGCCCAACCTTCCCCATCCCCGGCCCCGGCCCCTCGGGCTGGCACCCGGCTGCCCCTCCGCCACCCGCGCGGACCGCTCTCGGGCCCGGGCCACCTGGGCACCGGGGTGGGGGGGGCGCGGCCCGGCGTGACGTCAGGCGCCCCGCCCCCGGCCCCCGGTTCCGGGCGGGGCGCCGGGGTCCCGCGGGCCAGGCCGCCCCCGCCTCCCGCCCCGGGGCCGCCGCTCCCGCCCGGCCGCGCCCGCCCCGCGTCCCCCCGCCGGCGGACCCCGCCCGCGCGAGGCCGAAGCCGCGGCGGCGGCCGGCGTTGCCGCCATTGACGTCAGAGGGCGGGCACATGACCCCCGGGGACCAATCGCGCGCGCGCCGCGCGGCTCCGCGAGCTCCCCGCCGCGCCGGCCCCCGCGGCCCCGCCGCACACTCGCCCGCGGACGGCCGCCCGGACACACGCACCGTGCACACGAGCGGGCGGCGGGCCCGAGACACGCCCGCCCGCGCGGCCGCCCGCCCCCGCCGCCGCCGCCGCCCGCCGCCCCCCGCCCGCCCGCGCCCCCGCGCCCCCGCCCGCTGCCCGCCGAGCCGGTCCGGCCGCCGCGAGCATGCACCCGACGAGCTAGGAGGAAGCCGGAGCCCCGCAGGAAGCCCCGCGCCGCCCGCCGCCCGGGCCCCGCCCCTGCGGGGCGCCCCCAGCCCCGCGCCCGCCGCCTTCCCGGGGGCTGGGGGGGTGCGGGCCGCCGCCCGGGGGGCCTCGCCGCCCCGGCAGCCCGGGCCAGCCCCTCTCCCCGCTTCCGTCCGGCCCGGCCATGGATCTGACCAGCAGCTCGGGCGGCGGCGACCCTCGGCAGATCGAGGAGACCAAGCCGCTGCTGGGGGGCGACGTGCCGGCCCCCGAGGGCACGAAGATGGGCGCCGTGCCCTGCCGCCGGGCCCTGCTGCTGTGCAACGGGATGAGGTACAAGCTCCTGCAGGAGGGCGACATCCAGGTCTGTGTCATCCGGCACCCGCGCACCTTTCTCAGCAAGATCCTCACCTCCAAATTCCTGAGGCGCTGGGAGCCGCACCACCTAACGCTGGCCGACAGCAGCCTGGCGTCCGCCACGGTGAGTCGCTCTGCGCGCCGGCGCGCCCGCGCCCCCGCGCCTCCCCTCGGGGCCCGGGAGGCGCCCCCTCCCACCGGCCGCTGCACCTGGAGCTCGGGGCCTGCCCGGCGCAGGGGTGGTGGTGGTGGGGGGGCGCCGGGAGAACCGGGCACCCCTTTCCCCGGCTGGGCTCCCGGCTGCATTGTGGATTCTGGCGGGCCCGGGGAGACCCTGGAATTCTGGAGAGGATCTGGCCCTGTCCCCAGACTGAGCATTCGGGCACCTCCGGGCCCAGCGCTTGTGTTCCTTACGGCTGGGACCTTGGGATAGACCCGAGGCTGGGCCACGATGGTGGTGAGGGTTCCCTTTCTGAAGGCACATCTGGATCTGCGCCGGAGGGGAAAACAAAACAATTAAAAAAAAAGAAAAAGAAAAAAGCCCCAACAACCTCAAAACCCCAAAACCCAAAAAATTTCCAGAAGCCAGTTCCTTTCTTTGCTCTACCCGTCTTTTTCCTGCCGGGGCTGGCAGGCAAAACTGGGTGCTTCCCTTTCTGAGGAAAAAAAACACCTCGTTGGCTACACCGGGAGGGTGGAAGTGGAGGGGGAGGGGCGGGGGTCCCGGGTTATCTCCTCCCCACCGAGGACGGTCAAGTTTCCCTGCGGAAGCTGGCTTGTGGGCTCTGGTGTTGCATTGTCTGTGTAGTATTTTGTACGTGTGTTTTGTTGCTGGAGGTTGTATTTATGTTATTGTTTTAAAATGTATGGTTGGGACTGGGTCACCCTGATGAGAGGGAGAGAAGTCGGGGATGGGTTTCTGAAATCAAATCTGCAAGGTGGAGAGAGAGGGCTGTGGTGGGGTCGCTGCGGGGGAGGGTAGCAGGCAGGAGGTGAACAGGATGCTTTGTGTTTTGAAACAAGGACAGTTTAAAGCACCAGTTCTGCTTGGGCCCGAGCCTTGCTGGGTGCAGGGTGGTGTGTGGTGGGGGGTGTTCCATCCTCTCTGGAGAGGTGGCAGGTCTTCCCCAGAATGCAGTCTTCCCTGGGGTAACCGTGATGCTGTTTACTAAGCCTGCGGGGCGGTGGGGGTGTGCTGAATCCAATGCCTGCCCACACCTGTGCCAAGAAAACCCAGCCAGGAAGCAGGGTGTCACTTACACGACATGTCACAGACGTGTAGTGTGTGCAGACGTCCCCCCGGCCTCCATGTCCCCTTGGCAGTGTGTCACAGGCCATGACACATGCTCCAAGGAATGGGGAGGGGGAAAAGTTAGCAGAAGAAACCATACTCCTTGAAACTGCTCCCCCCCCACCACTTCCCGAGAGCATTGAAACACATGAGGACTCTTATTCTGAATTTTGGGTCCGACGTGCTCAGAACACCTATTTTTTCTTTCCTGTGGGCACGCTGGTGCAATCTGCAATGACCGCCTTCTCGGGGAGGATCCTGGGTTGCCGTGAAGCCTTCCAGCCCCAGTTTCAGGCTCGCGCACGTTCTCAAACCCCGTCCTGAGCCCCAGGCCGCGGCATTTGGCTTTTCATTTGACGGAGGGGGAGCCTCAGAAAACCCGCCAGCACACAGCGTTTTAGATTCAGCCCTTAGTGGTCCCCTGCCTGGAAGCCGCAGCCTCCAAATCTGGCTTCAGAATTTCCCCCTGGCTGGCAGGGGGTGAGGGGGGCTGGTCAGAGTGGGGGACTTTTATCTTTCTTTCTGCCACCCCTTTTCATGAAGGGGAGCTGGGGAAGAGAAAGCGGCTGGGAGGCACAGTGGCACTCCGTGGGAAGGACCGGCCCAGCTCCCGTGGCCCCCTGGAGGAAGCCGGGCGCTGTTCTGTGCTGCCCCGCGGTTGGGGTGAGCCAGCTTGGGAAGCTCAGGGTGCCCCTCCCCCTCCCTGCCCTCCCCCAGTTTACCTCTGATTGCTCAAGAGGTGTGTTTTGTGGAGAGAGAGAGAGGGGAGGAGGCAAGGGTGAAGCCACTTGCGCTAGACTTCTCTAGCAGCCAGGGTGCCCTCACCGACCCCCCCCCCCCGCCCCGCCGCCACCGCACCACCTTCCCCAGCTGAGGTGGATGGCACCTTCCCCTGCCCAGGCCCCTCCAGAGAAGAGCCGTGATTTTCTGGGCCTGGGGGCCAAGGGTCAGATGCGGCTCAGCAGAGCCTTGCCCTGGCGTTGGGGCAAGGGGGGAGCTCTGGGCTGGTGTGCCATGGGCTGCCCCCCTTCTTCCCCTGTGAGCAGGCCCTGCTGGCAGGGGAGGGGCTGTCCCTTACTTTTGCCATGGTGGGCTCCAGGGGGGTGCACGGGTCTCTGTGTGCCAAGGCTCGCAGGCACCGAGTGGGGCTGCTGAGGCAGGCCCGGCCACGGCGGCGGCCTCCAGGGCAGAGGTGGGGTTGACGGGCACCGTATCCCATCACCAGACACCTGGCCAGTGGTGCTGTCCAGGCCCCGGGGAGGGAAAGCAGCCCCAGGGGTTTCCCTGAGGCCCTGGGCGTTATGTAATCTGTCTGCGTTTTAGAGCACGGCCCTAGCCCTCGATTGAGAAACGTTAGCCCAAATGAAACAAAGGTGAACTTGAGTGTAGTTCACTACCGTGGCGGAAAGCCCCGTGCGGCCCAGCCTCGAGCTGCCGGTGGGGCAGTGTTTCATATCGGTCTTAGCCTTCCATCAAATGTGCATCGTCCTTTCATTAAGCCGTCTACACAGCTCCTCTCAGAACCATTTGGTAATTATCTGGTTAACTGTGTGGGCTTCAGGCACAAGACTCAGAGTGATTGATCTGGATTCAAACCAATAAACAAACCAAATACACTCTTTGCCCAAACCCTCTTTGTAGTCTGTCTACACGATCCAATTAGCTGGATGGTGGTCAGAGATACAGACCAGGCGTCCAGGACCACAGCTGTCTCAGGCGGTGGGGGGGGGTGGGGTGAGGGTGTGTGGTGGGGGAGGCGCCCAGGCTCTCAGTCCCACCTGGCAGCAGCTCCAGCCGGATACCCCCCACCCCCCAGGTGGACGGCCCTCTCTCCATTCCCTTCTGGGGAGGTGGGCTCAGCCCGGGGGCCCCCCAGGGGGGCGGCAGAGGATGGGGTGGAGGGTGGCAGCCTCCTCCCCTGGCCTGGCTGTAAACTTTGCCTTCGGTGGGGTCAGGTTGGAGCTTGCCCCCACGCCTATCTGCTGGGCCGGTTACTGATTAAATCCTTGCAGAGTCAACAGTGTGCCTGACATGGCCGGTGACAGCGTCAGGCCTGATGCACTGTGTGCAGGAGACTTTGGATCCGGAAGACTCATAAACAAAGAGGGGAACACAAAGGCGACAGTGACCCGCTGGCCGCCCTGGGGGGTGGGCGGGGGTGCTTGCGAGGCGCCTGCCCCTCCCTGGGGTACACAGGGCCGCACCTTGCGGGGGAAGGGCCCATCTGCCCAGGCTGTGGCTTGCACACGGCGCCTCCTTGCCGTTTCATGTCCGGACTTCCCAGTCCCCCGCCTCCCTGGGCCTCTCGTGGCTGCTGCCCACGGCGTCGGTGGTAGCCAAAGGCCCAGAGTCCTGCAGAGGCAGGCAGGATTCGGGTCTGAGGTACCAGAATCCATTTTGCTGTTGTCTTGCCTGGGCTGAATTTGATCACCTGCTAGGCATGTTTGTCTGTGGGAAGAGGGCTTTGTCCCTCTGCTTTGTCTCCTCTGCACCAGAGAAGTGCGGATCAGCTGCTAACCTTTTATTCTACCTTTTTTTTTTTTTTAAAATAACATGTAGCATGTGGCATATCAGAATTGGGGGAGGTGGTCTAGAATTGGGGGAGCTGGTCTAGTCTGACCAAAGAGGGGTCAGAGCACAGGTTAACAGTGGCCTTCTTTATTCTTAAGCCTCGATTCATTGATGAGACTTGTTTTTAAATTCTCAGCCATTCCGCTGCTGCAACTGAAATGTCTCTGGGCTTTTTGCTGCAAAAGGGAAAAGAGGAGTCCCTTCAGTTTTCTTTGGTTTCTTTGGCCTGATGTTTTCTTCGGGGCCCGACCTTCTGAACTTGGACTCACACTTCCTAAGCACCTACTGGGTATCAAGTGCCAGGTTCGTCCGGATGGTGGTTTCTCTTGGGAGTTAAAATCCATGTCCTCCTGAGTAAGTCCCAGGTCCCATGGGAGCTTACCTGCGTGTGCATGCACACGTGTGTTCGTTTCTCCACTCCTGTCACTTGCACCTCCTCCTTGGGCCCATCCCGGCCTTTGATTTGTGCGATGCGTTTCGTGGCGTGAGTAAACACAGAGAATTCTTTTTTCTTCTTTCAGTGCCTTTTATCACAAGATTTTGGAGTATATCAAATTTGTTTCCCAGGTAACTTGTCTGATTGGAGGTGGGGGGGGTGGAGGGGAGGGGTAGAGATAGAAGAGGAGTAGAAAATCTGAATTCTCTGTAAACAGCCCACAGGGTCTGCTCCCCCAGGCTGTAATAAATAAGTGTGTTTTCAGGAGGGAGTAGTTTTGGTGCTGCCACTCGCCTGGTGCAATCTGAGGTGCCCTTTCTGGCCACAGGCAAAATTGCGCCGGTCCAGGTTGAAGTGTCAAGCCTGCCGCTCACGACTGGGCTGTGCTACTGAGCCAGCATGGGCTCCGTGCCCACAGGTGGCCATGCCCGGCGTGCCCACTCCTCTGTGCCAACTGGGGTGCCCGCTGACTCACCTGGCAGTGGGAGAGGGCATTTGTGGGGCACCGCATTCAGCCAGGCTTAGGGGGACCCCAGCGGCCAAGTCACCCTGAAAAACCGAAGCTTCCTGAGAGTACCTTGTTGCTGGCTTCAGCTTGGCCCGCGAGCGTGGTACCCACTTGGTAATGTGGTGTAATGCACCTCCAGACATGGTCAAGTTACACTTAGATGAAAGGCTTAAATGAGATTCAGCAAGGCAGCCTGGTGGTTCAGGCGTCTCCACTGCAGAGCAGCACAGAAGGGGATGATCCTCCCTCATTTGCAGGGTCCCTGTGCGCACTGGAGATCGCTCGCATTGGCCCCTGGCAGGATGGCCAGCACGCAGC